ATCTCGAACCCGCGGGCTCAGGTAATCCACTCACCTCAGCCTCCCAAAGGCGCGGGATTACAGGCTGAGTCACTGAGCCCGGCTTTAGTTTTTAATAGTAACTGCCACTACCCACGTTTTTATTAAGTACTATGTGCCTAGCAGCGGGCTAAGCACTTTACAGGCATTATCTCATTTAATTTTCATAACAACTTACATAGAAGGTAAGCACTTTATCTGCTTTTTTTGTTTGTTTTTTTGAGTCAGAGTCTTACTGTTACCCAGGCTGGAGTGCAGTAGAATGCTCACGGCTCCCACAGCCTTGACCTGCTGGGCTCAGGTGATCCTTCTGCCTCAGTCTTCCAAGTAGCTGTAACTACAGGCACACGCCACCATGCCTGGCTAATTAAAAAAAAAATTGTAGAGATGAGGGCTTGCCAAGTTGCCTAGACTGGTCTTGAACCCCTGGGCTCAGGCAGTCCTCTCGCCTCTGCCACCCAAAGTACTAGGATTATAGGCATGAACCACTGTTTCTGGCCCATTATCTGCATTTTTAAATAAAGGAAACTAAGGTACAGAGAGGTTAAGTACTTTGCCAAATGTCACATAACTAGCCTGTGGCTGAGCAGAGATTTGAGCTCAGGTCTGTCTAAATGGCACAGTCAGGTAACAGACATGGAGCTCACAGTCCAGCTGGATTCTGGTTAGAGGGATCATGGACATCTTTGTGAAAGAGAAGGACCCTGAAGGATGGAAAGGATTTGGCTTTTGGGTGAGGGACATTTCAGGATGAGAGAACATTCAGTGCAAACCTGCTGTGGTAGGAGAGAGCAGGGTATGGGCTTTAGTCAGTGGGTTTTTGAAAATGTGGAAGCTTATTAGGTAGGGCAGTCATGGCCAGATTAACATTTTATAAAGATCATCCTCAGGACAGACAGGAGAAGGGAAAAAGAGATGAATACAAGTTAAAAAGTATTTCTAGGATGGGCGTGGTGGCTCAAGCCTGTAATCCCAGCACTTTGGGAGGCCTGGGCGACAGAGTGGGATTCCAACCCCCCCACAAAGACTTGGAAAAACATACAATGGCCAAGATGGTCAAAATGGTAGACTTTTGGCTGGCACCTGGGTGTTTAGCATGAAGAATTCTATTAAGAAAAAAGCAAAACTCCCAGGTTATCTTTCTACATTGAAAAAAAACCCCTAGATAAACCTTCACTGCTTCATTTCATTTTAGTCATGTGTAACTGGAAGTTTACTGTCCTAGCCAATTCTTTAGTGACATAAATGGATTGAAAATATATCTAATATAGGGGGCTGGGTGTGGTGATTCAAGCCTGTAATTCCAGCACTTTGGGAGACTGAGGTGAGAGAATTGCCTGAGCCCACAGATTTGAGAATAGCCCGGGTAACTTGGCAAGACCTCATCTCTACAATAAATCAAAAAATTAGCCAGGCATGGTAGCACATGCCTGTAGTTTCGGCTACTTGGAAGGCTGAGGCAGAAGGATCGCCTGAGCCTAGCAGGTCGACACTGGGGTGGCCGTGAGCATGCTACTGCACTCCAGCCTGGGCATCAGAGTGAGATGCCAACTCAAAATAAAAAGTATTTCTGTTAGTGTTTTGTGTGAGCAGAATAATAGCCCCTCAAAGATGTTCACGTCTTAACCTCTGGAACTGTGATCACCTTATGTGGCAAGAAGGAATTTGCAGATATGATCAAGTTAAGGATTTTGAGATGGAGAGATTATCCTGGATTAGCTGGGTGAGTCTAATATAATTACAAAGGTCCTTATAAGGGAGAGAAGGAGGCAGAAGTGCCTGAGAAGAATTATGATGACACAAGCAGAGGGTTAGAGTTGCTGGCTGTGGAAGTGGGTGGGGGGGGGAGAGGAGGAGCAAGGGATGGAGCAGGGAGGGGGTTCACATGTCAAGAAATAATGGCAGCCTCTGAAGCTGGAAAGCACAAGGAAATGGGTTCTCCCCTAAACTAGAAGGGTCAGAAGAAACATGACCCTGCTCACACCTTGATTTTAACCCCATAAGACCATTTTGGACTTCTGACCTTCAAAATTTACAAAGAATAAATTTATGTTGTTCTGAGACACCAAATTAGTGGTAAACGTTATAGCAACAATAGGAAACTAACACTCGTTCTTTGGGTGTTGCATCTTTGGATGCAAGCAATAGAAACAGACTCTGACTACATTAAGTAAAAAAGAAATTTATTGGGCAGTACAGTTGTACAACCACAGCCCTCAGAAATGATAGGAGCCATGGTTGCTTTGTGTACTCTAGATAACAATGCCGAGGGAATATTTCTTCCTTACCTCAGCTCTTTCCATGTGAAGGGACCTCCTTGAGAGTGACACCGTTCTATCACCTGCTACTCCCTAGAGGGGGAGGAATGATATACAGGTTAAGCATCCCAAATCTGAAAATCTAAAATACAAAAATTTATTATTATTTTTTGAGTCAGAGTCTCACTCTGTCAACCAGGCTGGAGTGCAGTGGTACGCTCCTGGTCACTTCAACCTCGATCTGCTGGGCTCAGGTGATCCTTCTGCCTCAGCCTTCCAAGTAGCTGGAACTACAGGCATATGCCACCATGCCCAGCTAATTTTTTGATTTATTGT